CCATGCCTGTGACCCACGGTCTGAGCGTGGCTGTGTCCATGCATCCCGGGAATGACCCAAGAACCTGGGAAACGTAACCGTCACAGAGACACTGCTCCCGTCACATCACCTGTGAAACACCGAGGAGCCTGGAAGAAGTGAGAGTTCTTCTAAACATCCCTTCTTCCCACCATGTTCACAGATGTGCCCACGGAGCCGTCACCTGGCCAGGCCCGGCAGCACTTGCAGACACCCCTGGGCTGCACAGGAGACCCCGTGCTACCCAGTCGACGCTGCCACGGCCATGTTCTTGCCCCAGCAGCTCGCACCGACTGCGGGACACGGTCTACGTGGGCACTGCGGCAAGAAAGACGTCCGTGGAGGTGTTCCCAGGGCTCGGGGCAGCTCACAGGCTTTGCAGACCATTTGGTTGAAGCTCCACCCGCCGCCTTAGGCCCATCCTGCTGGGAGCCCCCGACCAGCACTTCTCCCCCCCGACCAGCACCCCTGACCTCTGACCTACCCCCCCCTCCCCAGTTACAATGAAAACGCCAAAACTTCGAATTCTGAGAAGGATCAGATATGCAGTCCACGCCATTTTTCTTTTGTTTCTCTGAAGTGACAGGAAAATGCTAGCAAACACTGTCTTTCTTTCTCTGAGACTTTTCACCTTAGAGCAGTGATGGTGAACCTATGACATTTTTTTGGTTGATTTTTCTTTGTTAAATGGCATTTAAATATATAAAATAAATATCAAAAGTATAAGTCTTTGTTTTACTATGGTTGCAAATATCAAAAAATTTCTCTATGTGACACGGCACCAGAGTTAAGTTAGGGTTTTTCAAAACGCTGACACGGCGAGCTCAAAAGGTTCGCCATCACTGCCTTAGAGTCTAATTCACAAAGGCTCTACACCCAGCATGTCAAACTCGCAGGCCGCAGGCCCTCATTTATTTGGCCCATGTTAGTTTTTGAGTTTGACATGCTTGCCTTACACATGGACTTCACAACTCTCTTTGCAAATTATCCTATAATTAATCCAACCTGTTTGCCTCAAGTTGCTGTTACAGGGTTCAATTCTAAGTGACGAGCAGTTCCATGAAAGTTCACTTTGCCAAATGTTTACACCAAGTCACGAAAGTTTCAGTAGTAAAGTCAATATTTGTTTGTATTTTCATAGCAACCAATTTTAGTAACTATGGTTACACATGAGATATGAAAAAAGACTTCCTTCTACAAAATGTCATTCTCTGTGAAAAAACCCTGTTTACTAAAAGGACATCCTCTGAAGGTGTGTGTTTACCCACTGAAGACACATAAGATACATTTACTTCCAAAAGCAAATAAAATTAACATTGATGAAAAAAAAACACACAAAAAAAACCCAAAAAAACCCCTGAAAAGATAAAATGAGAATTTTCTCTCAACCAAAAATCCATTTGAGTGCAGACCAAACCCCAGGAGGCAAATGCTTCATCGTGGGACGCCTGGCTTCCCAGCTTATAACCATGCAACAACCAACACGTAACAACACGTGTGAGCGTTGCCAGGCTCTGCCATGGCCCGAGCGTCCCTGACTCCAGCAGGAAGCTCCGCCCGAGTGCTCTGTGGAGCTGGCCCAGCAAACCCGTGCGGCGCTAGCGCCCGTGTGAGGCAGCGCGTACAGTCGCCGCACGCCAAGTTCAGGAGAACTCGGAATAGGCAGCGGCTCTTCTTGCGGGAGTCGGACGGGAGGCTCTGAGTTAGCCCGGCTGGGGCTCCGCGGGTTGGAGCACTGTCCTGTGCACAGCAGGGCCACAGAGGCTCCATTCCCGGTCGGGGCAGGGATGGGAGGCAAGCAGTCCATGTTTCTCTCTCTCCCTCTTCCTTCCTGTCTCTCTGAATCGATGAGAACATGCCCTTGGGTGAGGATTGAAGGGGAAAGGTTCTGCAGGAAGCATCACGGAGGTGGCTGAGGTGAGATTTAGCCACTTGAGGAGGAGAGCAGCTGCGGAGAGGGGAGGCCATGAGCAGCACGGGGTCCTAGGCATTGGGGACAGTGACGAGCTGTAGGGAGGGGTGGGTGTCACCTGAAGGTTACATTAGGTCAGGTCACACTAGGAGGCTAGGAAGAACGGGAGGGGGACTAGGTCCGGGTCAGGAGCACGCGGGAGGAGGAGGCAGCACGGACTAAGGTCAGGGGAGGAACGAGGCTGCTGAGTTTCAGACATGCGAGCTCGAAGAGCCCGGGCCTGCACCACACACAGCGCCGGGTCTGAGCGCCGATCCCACTGCTCCTGCTCTGTGACCTCATACATGTTCCGTGAATTCAGTGTAACACAGACGTGGATCCGACCGGTGTGACTCCGTGGCTGACCTTCAACCCATGAACCAAGAGGTCCCCACTTCAATTCCGTCAGGGCACCTGGCCGGGTTGTGGTTTGATCCCCAGTAGAGGGCATGCAGGAGGCAGCCAACAGGTATTTCTCTCTCACTGATTTTCTTTCCCTCTCACTCCTTCGTGAGGATTCCTTTACAAAGAGGAAGGCACTGGGTCTCGGCCCGTCTGTGCTTCCCTGGGTGAAGGCTGGGGCGGGCCAAGACCGGAGGCGCAACGTCCCAGCAGGGCCCCAGGGTGAGGTGCTAGCTCGTCAGCTCCCTGAACTGACACCAGTTCTGAGCCCAGCCTACAGGATCTTGCAATTATTAGAACGAAAAGCCTCCGCCCCTTGCACAACCTACATGGTGTGCTCAGAGTCACTTTAGAAAAACTAACATAAAGCACGTGTGTATGACAGTGAGCGCACAGAGCGTCCACGTGGCTGAAGCTTTTGTGAAAGAAATGAAGTGAGAACAGCATTTACCTTGGTTTTGGCGTTGACACTGGCTCCGTGCTTCAGAAGGAAGTTGACCATTTTCACATTTCCATAGTGACAGGCCACAATTAAAGGAGTGTAACCGAGCTGTAATAACAATAAACAAGCAAATGACCACTCACTACACCTTGTGCGGGGGGGAGGACAGATTTCAGTCCCAGCAAGACATTCCACCTGACTGTAAAGATATTACTTAGCGGGCTGGGACACACTCTGACTGCACAGCTATGACTTAGTGGGTGTGACACACTCTGACTGCACAGATATTACTTAGTGGGTGTGACACACACTGACTGCACAGCTATTGCTTAGGGGGTGTGACACACACTGACTGCACAGCTACTAGTGAGTGTGACACACTCTGCACAGCTATTGCTTAGTGAGTGTGACACACTCTGACTGCACAGTTATTACTTAGTGGGTGTGACACACTCTGACTGTACAGCTATTACTTAGTGGGTGTGACACACACTGACTGTACAGTTCTTACTTAGTGGGTGTGACAATGACTGTACAGTTATTACTTAGTGAGTGTGACACACTCTGACTGCACAGTTATTACTTAGTGGGTGTGACACACTCTGACTGCACAGCTATTGCTTAGGGGGTGTGACACACACTGACTGCACAGCTACTAGTGAGTGTGACACACTCTGCACAGCTATTGCTTAGTGAGTGTGACACACTCTGACTGCACAGTTATTACTTAGTGGGTGTGACACACTCTGACTGTACAGTTATTACTTAGTGGGTGTGACACACTCTGACTGTACAGCTATTACTTAGTGGGTGTGACACACACTGACTGTACAGTTCTTACTTAGTGGGTGTGACAATGACTGTACAGTTATTACTTAGTGAGTGTGACACTCTCTGCTGCACAGATATTACTTAGTGGGTGTGAC